TGGGCTCCTGGGAGCCACTCTAGGTTCAAGTCTCTTGCCAGCCCTAAGGTGGCTCCCTTAACTAAGAATTGTGCCTCCGTGCTCCCCTATCCAGCCTTCCTTTATCCCAATCATCCTGTTTCCCCAAGTTACCCCCATCCTCCCCTACTCCCTTTTCTCTCCCCATCTCCCCTTTCCCCCATCCCACCCCACCCCCCAAGATCCCACTTTCCTCCCCGGCAATTTTGTCTACTTCCCATAGCCAAGAGGGTAACTATATGTTTTTCCTTGGGTTCACCTACTTATTTAGCTTCTTTAGGTTCACCAATTGTAGACTCCGTGACCCTTATTTATGGCTAGAAACCAATTATGAGTGAGTACATCCCTTGTTCATCTTTTTGGGTCTGGGTTACCTCACTCAGTATAGTGTTTTCTATTTCCATCCATTTGCATGCAAAATTCGAGAAGTCGTTGTTTTTTACCGCAGCATAGTACTCTAATGTGTATATATTCCACACTTTCTTCATCCATTCTTCCATTGAAGGGCATCTAGGTTGTTTCCAGGTTCTGGCTATTACAAATAATACTGCTATGAACATAGTTGAACAAATGTTCTTGTCATATGATCGGGCATCTCTTGGGTATATTCCCAGGAGTGGTATGGCTGGGTCCAGGGGTAGGTTGATCCCGAATTTCCTGAGAAACCGAAACACTGATTTCCAAAGTGGTTGCACAAGATTGCATTCCCACCAGCAATGCATGAGTGTACCCCTTCCTTGTTTGTTTCTTGAGACAGGTTTTCTCTGTGTAGGCTTGACTTTTCTGGAACTAGCTATATTGACCAGGATGGCCTCGAACTCAGAGAGAGCTGCATCTGCCTCCCAAGTGCTGGGATCAAAGGCATGTGCCACCACCACATCCATACTGTCTTCCCAAGTGATTCTAAGTTGTATCAAATTGTCAATTAAAACTAACGCTGATTTGACCTCCAAGGTATTAGTGTTGGCAGAGATTTCTGTCCTGCCCCGTCCCGCATCTGTTCAATACCCCAAAAATACACAGAGACCTACATTAATTATAAACTGGTTGGCCTAGTAGCTTAGCCTTCTTATTAACTCATAACTTATATTAGCCCATAATTCTTGTCTGTGTTAGCCATGTAACTTGGTACCTGTTATCAACGAGGCATTCTCATCTTGCTTTGTCTGTGTCTGGGTGATGGCTGCAGACTGACCTTTCTTCTTCCCAGAATTCTCCTGTTCTAGTTGTCCTGCCTATACTTCCTGCCTGGTCGCTCCACCTATACTTCCTGTCTGGCTATTGGCCAATCAGCGTTTTATTAAAAATAATACAAGTGACAGGATAAAAGACCATTATCCAACAGTATATTGGGATTATAGATGTGTTCCAGTTTATGTAGCGCTAATGATTAAATCCAGGATTTTTGCATGTTAGCAAAGAATTCTGCTAAGTGAGCCACATCTCCAGATCCTCTTGTGATGCCTTTGTTTGACTTTAATAACCAAGATAATAATGAACCCATTTAATATGTTGAGAAATATTTTTTTCTTTTGTCTTTTTCAAGAAGTTTGTGAAAGGTGGGCAGTGGTGGCACTTGTCTTTAATCCCAGCACTCGATAGGCAGAAGCAGGCAGATCTCTTTGAGTTCAAGGACAGCCTGATCTACAGAGTGAGTTCAGGACAGTCTCCAAAGCTACACAGAGAAACCCTGTTCAAAAAAAAACAGAAGTTTATGATAAAGTAGTGTGTATTTTTCTTGAAATATTTTATATAGAATTCATCTTTTAATTTATCCAGGCATTGATTTTTTTTATTCAAAGTTTTGAAATTGTTGGCTTAATCTCATATTGTTACATTCAGATTTTTATTTTTTAATTATTTGTGTATGGTAACTGGAATATGCCACTGTGTATGTGTGAATGTCAGAGGACAACTCGATTGAACCTATTTTCTCCTATGTATATGTGGGTTCTGGAGATTGGACTCATATTATCAGGCTTGACAAAAAACACCCTTACCTTTCTGGATTGTTTTGCTAACCTCAAACTTGCATATTTATTGTAAGGATATGTAATGATTAAGTTTATAGGAAGAAATAAAAAAAGATGAGAAGTTAGATGACCTCAAACATCTAGAGAGGGCTTTTTTTTTTTTGCTGGAGAGGTGCCATCCTGAGTACTCGCCTCACCATGATCAGGGCAAAAGACCCAGTCACTCAGTGACCATAGTTCCAAGGGCACAGTTCATATTCTCCAAGATGGGAGTTTTGTAATGATAGTGAAATGGGAAAGCATTCATTAGTGGCAGAATAGGGAGGTTAGCTGTTTTCCTTAAATAAGCTGTTTTTGAAAATATAGTCTGTTGTTTCTATGCAACTATCTGTTGTCTTGAATTGAGGTCAGCTGCTTTTCTTCTGAAGTCAAATAGTTAACTTCATGGAACTTTGAACTCAGTTTTAGGGCTTTTGGCTTTGGTGAATGGGTCCCTTTATTTCTAATATAAAACATCATTTCTATTTGTAAAAATATTTCCAGATTTGGTTGCTCAACGTGGAGAAAGATTGGAATTACTGATAGACAAAACAGAAAACCTTGTGGATTCAGTAAGTATAGAATATGATATTTCTTTCCAGGGTTTTAAAACAACTGCACTTATGTCTAAGAAAATATGGAAATGCCTTAAATCTTAGGCTGAGGTATTTTGTTTCTCTGTTTCATTTCTCATATCTATTATGTCATTATTTTGTGATAAGAAGGGTAAAAGTGAGACATACAAAACAATCTCTCAGCAGCCATCAATGAAGCTTTTTTAAAAAAAAAAATATACTCAATGTTTAGAATTAATTTCCTAAAAGTTTGGATTGAGGCAAAGTTTTTCAATTGATAAATAATTCATTATGTACTTTTGCTGTAAGTTTCAGCTTGGTGTGTCTGACTCATTGTGAATCCTGAAACTATGCAATTCCTTTTGGTGTTTATAGTGTTAACTTCATTTTTTTCCTTATATCAAGCCAAAGGTATAAGTTGAAATGTGCCATTAATCCTTAACTGAGATAAGTATGTCCCTGTGTGTTACTTGTTCTATTCTCACATATTTCTTTATATTTTTCACTCTTCTCTCATATATTACATCCCTCCCTCCCCTTCCCCATGCTTCCCCCACCTCCCTTGTCCCCTAGTTCCATCCCCCTTCTGTTTCCCTTCAGAAAAGAGCAGACCTCCCAAGGCCATCAATCAAACATGGCTTAATATGCTACAATAAGACCATGCACATACCATCATATCAAAGCTGAACAAGGTGACCCAGTAGGAGGAAAAGGGTCAGAGACAGCCCCCACTCCACTCTTAGGAATCCTACAAGAACACCAGGCTACTCTGCCATAACATATTGTAGAGGATCTAGGTCAGACCCGTACAGGATCCCTGATCTCTGTAAGCCCCCATGAGTCCCAGTCAGTTGATTCTATGGGTTGTGTTCTTGTGGTGTCCTTGTCCTCTCTGGTTACTCCTATCCTTCCTTCCCCTCCTCCTCAAGTCCCCCTGATCTCTGCCTAATGTTTAACTGCTCCAGTCAATTACTGGTTATAGTCTCTCTGGTCTCTTTAATGATGATTCTGCTAGGCTCTGGTCCCAGAATACCCTGCAGGCAGGACAAGCTATACATTGAAGATTTTGTGGCTGGGTTGCTACCTCAATCCCTCCACTTGAGGCCTTGTCTGGCTATAAAAGATGAACGAGTCAGACTCTGTGTCCCCCATTATTAGGAGTCTTTGCTATGGTTACTCTTGTAAATTCCATCGAATTTCCATTGAACTGTTTTCACTTCACCCCCCCCCAAATGCTCCTCCCAATTCCCAGTATTTTCTCCCACATTCTGACTTGATCTCTCCTGTTTCCAACCCCACTCGCCCTCAGTCCATCCTCGAAAGCTGTTCTATTACTTCTTCCCAGGGAGATCCTTGTGTTCCCCCCTTAAGCCTGCCTTGTTTCTTAGACTCTCTGGGTCTGTGGACCTTAGTATGATTATCTTTTACTTTAAAGCTAATATCCATGCCTTGTTAGTCTTTCTGTGTCTGGGTTACCTCACTCAGGATGATATTTTTCAAGTTCCATCCATTTGCCTGCAAATTTCTTTATGTCATTGTTTTTAACAGCTAAGTAATAAATACTCTGTTATGTAAATGTGCCACATTTTCTTTATCCATTCTTCAGTTGAGAGACATCTAGGTTGCTTCCAGGTTCTAGTTATTACTAATAAACATGCTATGAACATAGTTGAGCAAGTGTCCTGTGGTTGAGCATCGTTTGGGTATATGCCCAAGAGTAGTATGGCTGGTTCTTGACATAGATCAATTCCCAATTTTCAGATGAACTGCAATATTGATTTCCAAAGTGGCTTTACAAGTTTACACTCCCACCAGCAGTGGAGGGAATGTTCCCCCTTCTTCTACATCCTCTCCAGCATGAACTGTCATTTGTGTTTTTTATCTTACCCATTCTAATAAGCATAATATGGAGTCTTGGAGTCTTTTTGATTTTCATTTCCCTGATGGCTAATGATATTGAACATTTCTTTGTTTCTTGACCATTTTGGTTTTCTCTGTTAAATTCTGTTTAGATCTGTAGTCCAGCAGGACAGTGGTGGCACGTGCCTTTAACCCTAGCTCTCAGGAGGCAAAGGTAAGAGGCAGGAGGATCTCTGTAAGTTCAAGGCCAGCCTGGTCTATAGAGCTAGTTCCAGGACAACTAGTGTTGTTACATAGAGAAATACTTTCTCAACAAAACAAAACAAAATAGGTCTGTTCTCCATTTTTAATATTGGTTTGTCGATGTCTAGTTTCTTGAGTTCTTTATATATTTTGGATATTAGCCCTCTGTCAGATGTGAAGCTGGTGATAATCTTTTCTGTTCTGTGGGCTGCTGTTTTGTCCTATTGATGGTATCCTTTGCTATATAGAAGTTTTTCAGTTTCATGAGATTCCATTTATTAATTGTTGATCTTAGTACCTACACTCTTGGTGTTCTGTTCAGGAAGTTGTCTTCTGTGCCAATAGTTCAAGGCTATTCCCCACTTTCTCTTCTATCAGGTTCAGTGTATCTGGTCTTATGATGAGGTCTTTGATTCATTTGGAGTTAATTTTTTGTGCAAGATGGTAAGTATGGATCTGTTTGCTTTCTTCAACATACCAGCATCCAGTTGGACCAGTGCCATGTGTTGAAGATGCCTTCCTTTTTCTATTATATATTTCTGTCTTATTTATCAAAAATTAGGTGTCCATAGATATGTGTATTTATGTCTGGGTCTTTGATTCAATTCCATTGATCAACATGTCTGTTTTTATGGCAGTACCATGTGGTTTATTTTACTACAGCTCTGTAGTATAGCTTGAAATCATGGATGGTGATACCTCCAGAAGTTCTTTTATTATATAGGGTTGTTTTAGCTATCCTTGGTCTTTTATTTCATATGAAGTTGAGCATTAATTCTTTCAAGATCTATAAAGAATTGTGTTAGAATTTTGATGGAGATTGTGTTTAATCTGTAGATTGCTTTTGGTAGGATGGCTGTTTTTAGTATGTTAATCCTACCAATCCATGAGCATGGGAAACTTTTGCATCATCTGATATCTCCTTCAATTTCTTCTTTGAAGACTTTAAGTATTTATTATAAAGTCTTTCACTTGTTTGGTTATAGTTAACCCCAGGATATTTTATATTTTTGTGGCTATTGTAAAGGGTATTGTTTCCCTGAATTCTTTCTCATCCTGTTTGTCATTTGTATATAGGTGTGCTACTAATTTTTTAGTTAACTGTATATCCAGCCACATTGCTGAAGATATTTATCAGTTGTAGGAGTCCCCTGGTAAAAAGTTTGGTATCACTTATGTGATAATTATCTTATCATCTGCAAATAGCAACACTTTGACTTCTTCCTTTCCAACTTATATCCCCTTAATCTCCTTTTGTTGTCTTATTGCTCTAGCTAGAACGTTGAATACTATATTGAATACATATGGAGAGAGTGGACAGCCTTATCTTGTTCCTGATTTTAGTGAAATTGCATTGAATTTCTCTCAGTTAATTTGATGTTGGCTGTAGGCTTGCTGTATACTGCCTTAATTATGTTTAGGTATGTTCCTTGTATCCCTGATCTCTCCAAGACCTTTATCATGAAGGAATGTTAGATTTAGTCAAAGGTATCTTCAGTATATAAAGAGATGTTCATGTGGTTTTTTTCTTTCACCTTGTTTATATGGTAAATTACATTGACAGGTTTTCGTATGTTGAACCATGCCTGCATCTCTACAATGAAGCCTACTTATCATGGTGTATGATCTTTTTGATGTGTTTTTGAATTTGATTTGTGAGTATTTTATTGAGTATTTTTGCATAAATTTTTATGAGATTGGTCTGTAATTCTCTTCCTTTGTTGAATCTTTGTGTGGTTGGAAGTTTTTATTTTCTTTTTTCTTGATTTCTGCCTTGACACAGTAGTTGATTTATATGGAGTTGTTCAGTTTCCAATGAGTTTGTAGGATGTTTGCAGTTTCTGTTGTTGTTGATATCCAGATTTAATCTGTGGTGGTCTATTCTTCTGCCTGGTATGGCCTACACCTGAACAGGGATGTCTGCTGGCTTTGTAGGGGTAGGGTCAGTGGTATCTATCTTTACATTTTCTGTGCAGTTCATTGTAAAAGTGTTTTGAAAACAATGATAAACATATAGAGATATATTACAGGGTAAAATTTTACACATTTTAAAAAAGAGGGTGTTCATGACAACCTTTCAGGGGTGCGTGGTCTATCAAACCATATTTGTCTGGAAGTATTCCACAGGTTCTCATCTTATGTGGAAACAAAAGAAGAGCCTCCTTTCTAAAAGCAACATATCCTTAGACTCAAATTTTGGAATTAAGATGCTTTTTTTTCCATTTTTTTATTGAGAAAAGGAGAAAAAAAAACAAGTTTCCACCTCCTCCCAGCCTCCCATTTCCCTCCCCCTCCTCCCACCCTTCTCCCCCTCCTCCCACCCTTCTCCCCCTCCTCCCACCCTTCTCCCCATCCCCCCACTCCTCTCCCCCTCCCTCTACAGTCCAAAGAGCAGTCAGGGTTCCCTGCCCTGTGGTAAGTCCTAGGTCCTCCCCTCTCCGTCCATTTCTAGGAAGGTGAACATCCAAACTGGCTAGGCTCCCACAAAGCCAGCACATTACGTAGGTTCAAAACCCCGTGCCATTGTCCTTGGCTTCTCATCAGCCCTCATTGTTCGCCATGCTCAGAGAGTCCAGTTTTATCCCATGCTTTTTCAGTCACAGTCCAGCTGGCCTTGGTGAGCTCCCAATAGATCAGCTCCACTGTCTCAGTGGGTGGGTGCACCCGTCGTGGTCCCGACTTCTTTGCTCATGTTCTCCCTCCTTCTGCTCCTCATTGGGACCTTGGGAACTCAGTCCAGTGCTCCAGTGTGGGTCTCTGTCTCTATCTCCATCCATCACCAGATGAAGGTTCTATGATGATATGCAAGGTATTCGTCAGTATTGCTATAGGCTAGGGTCATTTCAGGTTCCCTATCCTCAGCTGCCCAGGAACTAACTGGGGACCTCGGCTTG